GCATATTGCTGCTCGCTGGGGCTATCAAGGGATCATAGAAGTGCTTTTGCAAAACGGGGCAAACCCAGAAATACCAAACCGGATGAAAGAGACTTCCCTGCAGTGTGCACTGAACGCCAAGGTACTGCTCCCCACCTTCCCTCTGGTCTGTCCACTGCAGCACCACAGAGGGGCAGGTGCCCCACCTGCCAGAGGGTTTTGTGGCCTGGTACTCCTCAAGTGACATATGTGTTTGACTTGGAGTGAGGAGGGTCCTGTTTTGGCTCTGATAGCGGGGGGGGATGGAGCATGAACTTGTAAATGGGCACTTTTAATCTGCTCAGTCATAATCTGTTACTAATATTAGGCTGTCTGCTAATTTGTGTTTCAGTTAGTAGATTCCTCTTTAAGTGGAGTTACACTGGTTCTCTTTAATATTTTTATGCAGATTTTGTCACTGATGGAATTAAATTACCTAACGTTCGAAAGAGGACAGAGTGCTTCTGAGGTAACAGCAGTGCTCAGCTGGTCCTTGCCTGTGCTTGACCTCCTGAATTCGACATGTAACTTTTTCTGCTTTGTGTTTGTTTGTTTTTTCCAACTGTAAGTCACCACTTAGGTCTCCTCAGCACTCCACAGAAACTTTCAGCAGAGGATCATCTGTCTCGAGCCTGTCGTCAGCATCTACTGATATCAGGCAAGAAGAGGTGAAAAATAATTATAAAGAGGTAAGACTGAGGAGTAACTTTTGACAATAAGCAAAGTTAAGGAAGCTAGAAGAGTGATGTTTTGCCACAGTGTTTTAAGCTGCTTCTTCAGGAATAGCCTTCTGTCTGGTCTGGAAAACACTACGCTGCTGTCCTCAGGGGTTTGGCATCTCAGTGTCTAAACTCTTATCTTTGTGTGGTATCAGTGGCTCTGCTGCTTATTTCGGGGGAAAAACTGAAACTTATTTGGAGTAGTTGTTCAGATTTACTGAAGTTAACTGTAATTTGATACTTTATTCAGGTTTACAAAGGTACAGTGGTGGGCAGTGCCCCAAGGGCCTGTCCAGGAACGAAGTGCTGTTGTTAGCTTACAGTCTGTCAGGGAAGCACAGGAATACTGGCAAACTAACTGGAATGGTCAGACAAGCATTCAAAACAGGCAGAGAAAATTAATTCTGTAACAAGTGAAGAATACAGACTGTATGTATTAAATGTCTTGCACATGTGTTTGCTGATTTTGTCTGTCCACACCAACCAAGGTGCTATCCTCTGCATTGTTTTATGTGGGATCTCAGGTCCACAGCTTCCCTTTATCCCCTCTGGAGTCTGTCCTATCACCACTCCTTCTGATGCTTATCTTTGTTTTTGACTAGTCCTGCTGCTTAATTTTATTCCAAATTGGCATCCTTGGTATGCTTCTTGCTCTTCATGTCCCCTCTACCTTCAAATTCTTTCTTTCACTGCTATTAAAGGTTCTTCTCTGGCCAAAAATTTGTTATCGAAAAATGCTCAAGAAACACAGATGTAAATTTTACAATATTTTACAATATTACTTCACACTTCAGTTGCTCTGAGGAAGGCTCAGTGTAGGACTGTACCTCCCTGTTTGTGCAGAGTCAAGCACTCTGAACACGTTTGCCTCATAGATTGAGAATTTATTTTTCCTTAAAGGAGCAAATGTATCATACCCAAGAGCAAAGTCTGTAGTTCAAACCAGGGAAGAAGATTACAGGCAGCTTACACCTCAGGCTCCTGGGGTTAATGACCTTCTCCTGTAATCCATCTTAAGGTCATTTCTGTTTGCCAAGTTTCACATGGGCTCACTGCTCTTATTCTTAGTAACCAAAGAAGCAAGGGCCTGATCCTGGGGGAGCTCCATGAAGGGAATGCCCCTGGAAGTCATGGGAAGCTAATATGATCAGTTTTCCAGATTTCAAGCCTTACACCATGGATTAAGGGATTCCAGTTAGACCTTTGTTAATCAATACCAAATTAAACTCTTGGCTTCCATGAGCCAGTCGTGGTGTATGTCTTGTATTGGCTTGTTTGTGATTTAGAAAAGAGAAGGGTGAAAGAGCCAGGGTTGTAAATTTGGAAATTCATCTGCTGGAACTGAGAGCTCCTTACACAATTTCTGTCCAGCAGCTGAAAGTCTGGGCATGGAAATGAGTTGCAGTAGGTTTGTTTCATCTATTTTTACAATTAAAGGAATGTGCTTCTATTCCATGGAGGAGTGAGAACAGACTGGAAGGATGGGGAGATGCATGCCCTAAGTACTCCTCATGAATTCTCTATAAGCTGTGAAGCAGCTGCTGTGTGCTTCTGCACTGCTGGGCCTGAGGCAGTTTTCAGAGCTGTAAGGAAGTTGTTATTTTTGGAAAGAAATTATCAGAGCTCGTGGGTCACTGGCTATTGCTGTTAGGCATCTCATGTGTGATCAGAAATCATAAGGGCCTCTGTATTCCCCACTGACATTTAAGTGACTGGCAGGTTTAGACAGCTGACTTTGAGACATGCAAAGTTAGGAAGGAAAAGTCATATAATCATAGGTTCTGCCTCGAGTGGCTAGTGCAGGACTTCAAGGAGCTTCACTCTATTGCAAATGTAGTAATAAAATAAACCTTACAGCTGTCCCAACAAGAGGTAAAAATGAACGGGGAGATTTAATCTGACCTCTGATCTTTCAGCTATAGATGTGTCCTGTTCTGCTAGAACCCTGAAGAGAGAGATCAGACCAGCAGAACACAAACTTCAGCCTCGTTCTGCCTTGCTTGCCTTACCAAGCACCACTGCCACACTGGGCAGGGTGGGTAAGGATTGAAATGTGAGGGTAGCTGTGACTCCAGGGCATCTTCAACTTGCAAGATGTTCCTTAACAGTGGTACACTTGGCTAACACAGCAGTGTCCTTGGTGATTCTAGCACAGTGCTGGAATAATTTGCTATAATGCTGAAACAGACTTTCACAAAGCTTATTAAATGATTCTTCCACGATCTGCAGAGGCCACACGAGTTGTCTAGAGAGAGGACTAACAGGCTCTCCTTGCCCTTTTGCTGGCACCTCTCCCATTCCTATCAGGTCAGATCTCAACTCCTTCATGTGAGAGAAGTGGGGAGACAAGTACATCTCATCCTCCTGCTTTCATAAGCAATCAGAGGGCTCAGGGGAATGGCAACAGTGCACTGCAGAGCATCTTCCATCTCTTCTTCCTCCCAAGTGCCTTTTCTCCCCTGCAGAGCTCAGGAACAGGAGAGTTCCTGCACACACCAGGCAGTTGTTCTGAGGCACTGGGGGGTGTACAGATAGCTCACTGCTCTCGTGCTGCCCCTGGAACAGCTCTGAGCAGGGCACTTGGCTTTTGCTGATGCAAACCCTTGGATATTTACATCTTTTCAGTAAGAAAGCAAATTTCATACTTAGAGTCAAGTTACATTTGTAAATGTTTGGATTTTAGCGCAGGAATAAACCAACAATCTGCAGATGTGAGGGCAACAATTGGAAAGCATCTTTTTCATCTTAAACTGTTGTCTCTCAAAGGGCAAAATAAAATCTGCCATCCTTTGTGCTTCTAGTAGCACAGCAAACAGTGTTAGTATTTATTAGGGCAGAAATTTTTCTGGGGGAGGGATTTGTAGTGTTAGGTTCACTGCAGAAATGCAGTATAACATGTATCAGCATCTGTGGCTTTGTGTGTGTGTGGGCCACATACCCTCCAGTTACATAACATGTATCAGCATCTATGGCTTTGTTTGTGTGTGGGCCACATACCCTCCAGTTAGACAAGTACTGTTTGTCTTTGACTAAACAAGTCAGAGATCACCAAATAGCCACAGGCCTCGTACAGCTTTTGTGTTTTGGAAAGAAAGGAGGTTTTCCTTTAAAACTTGATCAGTAAATATGAAATGGGCCAGTAGTAATCCTGCTGTGTGAGCTTAGGAGGTTAGCAAAGGACACAGGATTTTCTGTGTGCTGCTTAGTACCCATGCTAACGAGGCAAATAAATTATTTTCTTGGTACATAGGTGGAAAAACTCCTGCGAGCAGTTGCTGATGGAGACCTGGAAATGGTGAGTCTTAGCTTGGCTGTTGAATATGATTGAATTCCAGTGTATCTGATCAAACTGAGAAAGTTGTGAATAATACCAAGTGAGGAATGCTTTGGGCAATCCCTTCCTTCTGCAACCACTGATCATAGTCAGCTTATTTCCCACAAAGAATATTCACTCCATGTCCCTAAATTATTTTACCTACAGTGCTATAAGGCCCATTATTTTGGCATTTTCATGACCTCTTAGACTAAAGAAATTACTTTGAATTGAATAACAGCTCTGTGAAGGTCTATCATTTAAAATGTATTCATAGTCACCTCTAGGAGAGGCAAAGAACTTGGGCAGCTGATGCCAAGGGGTGCTGTGTATCCTCCCTGAGATGGTCACAGGTGTGTGTTTGTGAAATCTGATTTGTCCACATGTGCAGGTGTATTAGGCCATGGAACCTTTGGGCTCTGTAAGAAAGACTTGCTTTTTATTCCAGGTGCGTTATCTCCTGGAATGGATGGAAGAAGACTTGGAAGATGAGGATGACACAGCCAGTACATCCAAACCAGAATTCTGCCATCCCTTGTGCCAGTGCTCAAAGTGTGGGCCAGTACAAAAGGTTGGAATAGCCATTCTGTAAACAGAGTAATTTATCTTCTTGTAAGGCAAGTTTTAGCTCCAGGGCAGTAGCATTTGTGTTCCCATCCCCTCTGTATCTCTGCCTGAAAAGCAATTAACTGTGACTGATGTCATGAAATTGTCCCTTGTTTAATTGAACTGTGGACACTTGGAGACAAGAACAGTGTTCACAGACGTGCTCAATATCTAATGGAGTGAAAAAGCTTCACGGTTTGCTTTTAGTCTGTGAACTGCTATGAGGAAGGTTTGGGCAGCTTGGAATAAACATCCTTTTTCTAAGCCTCTGGTTCTCTTTTGTAGTGAGAGTATCTACTTACCTGTTAGTAATCAATTTAGCAAATCCTGTGATAATGTAGTGCTGATAAAGTTTTTTTTTAACTCCATGACATCTTTCAGACAAGCTGTGTCAAAAATCTCTTCAGAGCTGAAATGTAATTGCAGAGCTCCTTTTCAGTTGCAGAGAATTTCCCCCTCGTTTATCACAGGCTGCAGAAGAGAGTCAGCCATACGATGCACTCGTTACTTTTTTAGATGAGGAGTGATCCCAGCTTCTTGGAAACAGGAAACCAGTTTCTTGCCTTACAGGAAGAAAGCATACTGCTGTGTCTGAAGGTCTGCCTAACTGGATAAGTCATTGCAAAGTCAACCAAAGTCTAAGTTTTCAGTTTGTTGGTTGCTTTGATGCAGTATCCCTGTCCCTTAACTGAGAAAACATGAGGACTTTTCTAGAACTCCTTATTTCCACCACGAGTTTATTTTGTGCAGGCTAAGAAAATGCTTGTTGCCCTTGAAACTCCACACTGTGCCTTGTGTTGGGGTGTCCATGTGCCCTTGGTACAGAGATCATGTGCTAAAGATGCAAGAGCCTGAGACCATATAGCTCCTTTATTGCTGAGGGAGGGAATGGCATCTGCTGTGGGATTTCCTTGCCTGCTGAATGAGAAGAGGAAGGAACTTACTGACTCATCATAACCCCTGTGTTAGGTGGGGACACACTGCAAAGCACACTGGGGACAGGCAGGTTGTCCCCCAGTGTCAGTGCTAGGCACCCACCCAGGAAGGAGGATGTGCTGCTCTGCTCTGTAAGCTCTTGCAGGTGGTTTCCTTATTGTCAAGTCCCATGGGAGTCTGTTCTCTGGGCCAGTATCACTTCCAGGGGAATAAAATCAGTTTTAGTTTTTATTCCTGTTCTCCCAAGCGTTGTGTGGCACTAAAACAGTGTGTGGTGTCTGTCTCAAAGAGCATAAGTGTCTGTATAAATGACAGTAACTCATTAACACTGACTCATACCCAGTATGAGCATTCTGACAGCTGTGTAAAAACTGCAAGTTTGACTTCTGTCTCAGCCTGTGCTGCTTTAGCCTGGAATGTCTCTCTCTGTGAAGTTATGTTGGAAGAAAAGAGAGAACAATAAAAGTGATTGTTCTGTTGTGAAATACTGCTGAGCTGCTCTGGGTTGCTGAGTTTTCCTGAAGGCCTTAAACTAGGCTCTGTAGCAGAAGTTCTTGTCGCATCCATTACCTGGTTTGTTTATTAAATGCATATATAATATAGTATAAATAGCAGGTATTTGGCTGTTTTTTGGTTAACAAAACTCTAATGGTTTTGTTATTTTCCTCAACAGAAATTTGCAAAGGTCTCTGCTAACGGACTTGGAGTAAATGTTTCCAACCAAGATGGTTTTACACCACTGCACATGGCTGCACTGCATGGACACGCCGAGCTGGTCTCTATTAAATGCATATATAATATAGTATAAATAGCAGGTATTTGGCTGTTTTTTGGTTAACAAAACTCTAATGGTTTTGTTATTTTCCTCAACAGAAATTTGCAAAGGTCTCTGCTAACGGACTTGGAGTAAATGTTTCCAACCAAGATGGTTTTACACCACTGCACATGGCTGCACTGCATGGACACGCCGAGCTGGTCTCGTCTCTAGGAATGCAAAACAGGCAGTTCCTCTTCACCTGGCCTGCCAGAAAGGACACTTCCAGGTAACTCAGCCTTCTGCAGACAGCTGGCACTCAGCACCCACAGAAACTCCTTTGGGACACTCTCAGCAGGGTTAAACCAGTAACAGAGGAAATCACTTCAGTGATTCTGTTTTTTTTCTTTAATTGTCTAAAATCTCCAGATGGAAAGGGAATTTTTCAGCTGAAACTGTTTCAGTAAACACCTTTCTAAGTGACCTGAAATACTGGTGTGATGCAAGTGCTGTGAATGGCTAATGTCAAACACCTTAAAATACCTTGTGCAGCTGAATCTTCCTGTGTACATTCTCTCTACCTTCTCTTTAATGACGTTGTGTATGTCTTGGTATCTTCAGTAGCACAGTATTAAATATTCAGTGTATTTTCAACTCGTGGAAGTAGATGATGAGCCAAGCAGAGCTCTGAGAGCAGCAGATAACCTCATCTCCAAAAGCAGTGGAGGAGACGTGTGAGCTCATGAGGGGAGAGTGTTATACAGGAGGGAGAGTAAAAATTATGGCCATGAAAAAGCAGGTGCAGACAGGCAATGGGAAGGTGCAGAAAAGTGGAAAACTAGGGCTTTAAGAATAAGGAGCTGAGGAGTGCAGGAGGGGAGAACAGGAGTGTGAAGATGGTGGGAAGACAAAGCACTAGGGAAGCGAGAAAAAAACAATACAACTCACCCTTGTACGTTAAGGAAGGTTAGTTCATGGGATATTTACAACGTGAAGAACTCCCAAGTGTTCTGATGAGTTTGGAAAAGGCAAAAGGTGCAGTTCTGTGGTGGTTTGGGGTGGGTGTTTTGTTGAGTTACTGGCTGTGTGTGTGTTTTCCATAGACCTCAGGTTTCATTTTCTGGCCTTTCTTGCAGTTGCTGAAGTTGTTCTTTTTAAAAAGTGCACATTAAAACATGAAAAGTAGCCTGATAAGAAGAATTGTGAGTGGTTGTCATCTCAAAGATGAGACTTGTTTTCTCCATCCCTTTGTCTTTCATCTCTTCCTCAATCTAGATTTCAGAAAAGATTAAAAGAGGAGGGAAATCTTTCCCTGCATGATTGGGATTCACTGGTGCCTTAAACAGTTGTTACTTCTTCCAATAGGTGGTAAAGTGTCTGATGGATTACAATGCTAAACAGAATAAGAAGGATATATATGGCAATACTCCGTTAATTTACGCGTGCTCCAGTGGTCAGTATGAGACTACTGCCCTGCTGTTACAGGTAAGGTCACTGAACACAACCTGCAGGGGAGTGTTTCTGAGCCAGTGTCTGTGCTTCCCTCAGGAGCAGCATTTTTAGTCATACACTTCTCAGTCAAAACTGCTTGGGGACAAAAATAGGTGTAAATTCATTCCTTTCAATCCCTTCTCTTCACAGATTTGAGTTGGGCAAATGTTTCCTTGCTGTCTGTGAGGAACCTCTGTGGGGCAGGTGCTGGGTTTGCTTGCTGGTGATTCAGTCACACAGGGATTTTTTCTTTTTTTTCGGTTTCAGGGTTGTTTTTTTTTTAAACATCTCTTAAATTTGGACTATGTAGTAGATAGATGCAAAAATGAAAAGAGCTGGTCCATGAAATTGGCTGTGAGAGAGGAGGAACTAACTCGATCAGGTGGCATTATGTGCTCTGGGGATTTCTGCAGAGGCCTTAGCATTCAGGCACAGCTGAGGTGTCTCCTGTGCTGTGCTGGTTCCACTGGGGCAGGGAAAGGAGAGAACCAGGATCCTGAACTGGCCCCTCAGCTCAGAGGGACATTGAGGGGCTGGAGCAGGTCCAGAGCAGAGCAACGAGGCTGGGGAAGGGACTGGAGCACAAGTGGCATGAGGAGAGGCTGAGGGAGCTGGGGGTGTTCAGCCTGGAGAAGAGGAGGCTCAGGGGAGACCTTCTCACCCTCTGCAACTCCCTGACAGGAGGTTGGAGTCAGGTGGGGGTTGGTCTCTTCTCCCAGGCAACAGCAGCAGGACAAGAGGGCACAGACTCAAGCTCTGCCAGGGGAGGGTTAGGTTGGAGATTAGGAAGAGATTTTTTACAGAGAGAGTGCTCAGGCATTGGAATGTGCTGCCCAGGGAGGTGGTGGATTCCCCATCCCTGGAGGTTTTCAAGCTGAGACTGGATGTGGCACTTAGTGCCATGGACCAGTGACCACAGGAGGGTTGGGCTCGATTATCTTTGAGGTCTCTTCCCACCTGGGCGGTTCCATGACAGCACTGTGCCAGCTGCAGGGGATGCTGCTCACTAACTTGGCCTCTCTCTGCCCAGCACGGAGCCTGTGTGAACCTTTCCAATGCCAAGGGCAACACAGCACTGCACGAGGCCGCGCGGGGAGGGCGAGCGGCGCTGGTGGAGCTGCTGCTGCAGAACGGGGCCCTGACAGACCTGAGGAACGAGAGGGACTGCACCCCCGGGGACTGTGCAGGGACGGTGAGCACGGGGCAGGGGGCATGGACTGCACCCCCAGGACTGCATGGGGCAGGGGACATGGCACTGCACCCCTGGGGACTGCGCCGGGACAGTGAGCACGGGGCAGGGGGCATGGACCCCCGGGACTGCAGGGGGCTTGGACTGCACCCCTGGGACTGCATGGGGCAGGGGGCATGGACTGCACCCCCAGGACAGCACTCACGGGCTCCAGGGTCTGGTGGTTGTGTGGTGTCCCCACCAAGGTACCTGTTGGACGTACAGTGCCATTCCTGGGCTGGCATGTTCTAAAATTACCTATCCTAGGCAAAAAGGATGAGTCTAGAGGGAGTGAGAGCACACAGGTGAATAAAAATGACATTCAAATCTGTGTAGGGGCAGAGAGAGCAGGAGAAGTGTTGAGTGCAGGCAAATGAACACCTTTCAGTGACCAGTTCACTAGCAATGTTCCTTCTTCCACCTTCTGCCCCTCAATACCTTTTATCCTCCCACAGACAGCTCTGACCTTCCCCTCTACTAACAGCAACAGCATGATGTGTAATAGTAAGTGACACAGAATTCTTTGGCTCTCAGAAGGGTTTGGTGCGTGGCCCCTGTCTGTGTGTGCCTCAGTAGCCTCTGAGATGGAGCACAATGGCCACAGAGTTCTGTGCTGAGCCAGTTCTAGTATGTGTATTACCTTTACACTGAAATTAGCTTAACCATCAATAACAGGTTAAAATAAAAGGTCAAGACTTAGAACATCATCATCACAGTGCAAGTTGGGGAACACTGTCCCTACTCAAGATCATACAACTTCAAGTTTATATTTATAATGAGGGATTTTTTTTGTGTGTTACATTCATTTTGACAGCAGTTAACACTCTCTGCATAGACTAGAGTCATAAGTTGTGCTGATGTTTTTCCTTTTCTTTAATGGTGGTGAAAATGGGAACTCTTAAACTGAAGAACTCAAATATTGTGAAGTTGCTGGAAGCAGCACCAAGGTGTGCACCCACATCAGCAGAGGGAGAGAAGAAGAGTGAGCAGCATGCTGCTCTCAGGATAAGGAAGAAAGGTACCTGTCATGTTCCCACTGGAGTGAATTAAAAGGCATTTAGGAATTCATGTGCCACAACATCAAATGTTAATTACAGTTCATTATTTTGTATGTTTATTGTAAGTAACACCTAAAAGACTGTAACTAAATGCAGCAAACTTTGTATGATGTTCATGACATTGCTGCAAACTCAGTTTCCCTTTTCTGGGGTCTGTGTGTGAATTTTGCAGACAAAAGCATTTCAGGTTGAAAACATGCATGTCTGAGGTGACACAATTAACCACGTAACGACTGTGCGTTTCAGTGCAAAGTCAAGGGGGTTTAAGTGGCTGCTGGTTGTCGTTTACATTGCCCTGAAACAGGTTAGGGAGTGACTCTGCTTTGGTTACTGTCTCTTGTGTTTTGGGAGGGAAATAAGGAGGCAGCTGTCTAAGCCTTGCAGCAGTTTGCAGGAGGCTGAGCAAGGGGCAGCAAGTGTGAGCCAGTGTGCAGAGACTTGTGCAGTGTGGCAGGACAGCTGAGCCTTATTGCCATGGGCAGGATGGTGTTACCCTCCCTCCTCACCCTCAGCTTCCAACCTGGCGTAGCCACTGCTCTCCTTGTGCTGGCTCAGAAGTTTTTTCAGGTGAAGTTTGAAGCTGATAAGAGTTCCCTAATGTGGGACGAGTTTTGTGCTGAGCTACCCAACTTGGCATAGCAAAGGACCTGCTGCCACCAGAGCTGTGCAAAGGAGACAGGGAGGCTGCACGAGCAGGAATTAGGGAAGATGAGGAGCAAGAGTGCCCATTTCAGTGTCTGTGTGTTTTCAAAATGACTTGTGCCTTGGAAAGATCGTGAACTCTGGTTAACAGAAACCCACAATCAATCCCAGTGTGCTGGTGCCTGAAATTAAGGTAGTTCTTTCACAAAGTATGAGAACAGTTCTAAAAGAACCATGGAAGACATGAGTAAGTGATATTCATGATGAGGTGGTTTATAATCTGTTCAGTTTTGTAAGAAGTCCAGAATGGCAGAGTCTCTTCAGGAGCTTGGCCAGTGATGCTAACCTGGTGGGGAATGCTCACTCCTGCCACCTGAAAGGCTTTAGAATTGCCAGAGATCAGTTGCCACTCTGATTCAAGTTAGTGCTGTTGTAGTTTTACTGTACAGTTTAAAATCTCATGTCAGTAGATGCCACTTTTCATTCAGAACTGTGTTTTTGTACCTCCTAAGTGTGACTCAGTTGTAATTTTAGCTGCCTGTTCTTTTAAACCCTCAGTGCACTGTAAGCCCTGTGAGAGAGCCGATGATCCCATAAGCAGACAACTTCAACTGGTCCAGTCGATTAACAGATTTAACAAGTAAGCAGAGAGGCTCTGTGTGTTTGTGTTTCCCACAAGTGACCAAGAAATACCAAAGCCCCAGAGTCACACGTGAGAGGTGTGATGGGTGTTAACCCTCCAGGCCCTGCACAGTCACATCCCAGACAGGTTCCAGGCACCACATGCTCACAGGAGGGGAAAGCTGTATTTGAGATGTACTTTGATTTGGTTTGCACTGCTATGATGTGCCATCATTTCAGAGTTTCAGAGCCAAACAGCTTAAAAGATATTGTATTGGTGCTTCACTCCTTGGTTGGGGTTTGCCTATGATTTCTTTAAACTTTAATGTATGTTCTGCAGTCAAATGCAGGGAATATAAGTAGGCTGTGGTTTGGGAAGGTTTCAGGGAAGGTCTGTGTCTGGTGAGATAGTTCCACCTTGTGGAGCTTCTGTAGTAGAGTATTTTATGGAAAGGCTTATGGAAAGACACTTAATTTCTTTATTTTCTTTAAAATTTTCCTTAGATCAAAACACTTACGGAGAACAATAACAAGAGATAAAAGTGTCCCTAATCTTGACTATCAGTTGTTGCACCAGGTAAGTGGAAATACTTGAGTTATTTGTGTAATACAGCAAATATGTTTGTTTTCTCTGCTGTTACTGTGGGTACATAGAAGAAAAAGATTTCTGTACTAGTGGTGGTCATTGAATCACCAAAGCTCTGACCTGTGTGCCAAATTTCTGATATTTCGTGGTTGTTCAGACTTCAATGGTGTTTCTATAACCCCACTTAAACACCTTATTCTTACTTTTAAAGCTCTTAAGCCTCTTATTGCAGCTTCATCTCTGTCTTGCTTTCTGTGTCATGCCCAGCCAGGCCCAGGACTGAGAACCCAGGCAGCTTACAGGAGCTGTGGCCAGGCAGAGATGCTGGTGCTAGCAAGAGAAAATTGTCACTAGATGAAAATTGGGGCTCGGATAATGTTTGTACGAGGAGATTGTGTGCCAGGCTGACAGCAAACTGCCTGTTGCACTGCCAGCTGTGACACAGCTGTGTGTGACAGACAGAAGTGACCAAAAAGGGATTAAGCAGGGGAGGAGTGTGGGTGTCTCTTCCCTCACAGGCAACTCCTGGGCACAGGGAGATTGGGCCCTCAGCAAAGTGCCTGGCTGAGCCTGGCTGTGTTACTACTTCTGTCTCTCACTGCTACAAGAACTGACTGTTAACTTCAAGTGCCTTGAGACTTGATTACAGAAGGTGTTCAGAAGAGTTAGGATGATGTTGGGATGGTGCAGTGAAAGTAAGTTTTGGAATGCCTCAGTTATCCTTCCAGTTCTGGGACTGGTGTGTAGCCTGGGGCAGGTTGGGCACTTTTTCTCATATGTACTACTCTGCTGCCAGTTATGCATTTTAAATCCTTGGCTGTGTGCTCAGTATAGAGAACACCATGAAATTAATGTGCTGGTTATGTTCAAGAAACACCATACCCATTTTGCTTCTCTGCAGTGAAAGAAGTAGGTAATGCTTTCACCATTCCACTTCTCTCTCCTCACAGATGGCTATTAAAAGCTTTGATAAAAGCAAGTTGAGATCTGTTGGAATGCTGGACCAGGGCACAGTTGAGGTGACTGACACGGGCTGCAGTGCTGAGTTTGTGGACCACAATGACACGATGGAAGCTCCTCACAGGAGCAAACTAATGCACCGAAGACACACAGTTAATGTGCCACTCCCAGCAGAGGATGGCAGTGCCAGCAGCTCATCCAGCCCTAGCAATCCAGGGAGTTCACCATCCCCAGACTCCTGTGATGTCTTGATTTCAGACCACTGACAGGGACGTGTGAATGTGGATTTCAGTAACCTGCAGTCAGAGCAGGTACAGGATGACTCTTCAGCAGAAACAGAATGTTCTAGCACTTTGGAGACTGAATCCTCTGTTTACGTTGGAGGCAACTACACCTAGATCATTACTGATCTCACAAACAGGGACGTAGTTGGCAGCAGAATTACTTTCCTATCCTACTTAGCACTTATTAAAACCCTGTGTAACAGCAAACCAAACCAAACCCTGTATTGTATTTTTCAGCCACCCACTTTGTTTTAAAAGTATTTGAATAATTTTTGCATTTTCAGTTTTTATCACTACATGGAGAATATATTTATATATATAAAGATATATTGGATAAGGAGGTATTTATTGCCAGAGGTAACTGAAATGTCTCTATTTTTATTGTAATGCTACGAACCATGATAGTCTATATTTCTGTGTATTTCAGTAGCTGGGAAAACAATAGTCCATCACATCTGCAGTGCTACATTATTGATGTGAAGGGATGCAATCCCTGCTCAGTCCTTGGCAATGCTCCCCTGGACTGGAGCTGCAATATGGAGTTGGTACACAGGAGCTGAGTTACTGGGGGAGCAGAGAGCCCTTGACAAAGCTAAGCTCTGGACTCGCTGTTCACAGCCTAAGAAAACAAAATGCAGAAGGGACACACCAAGCTAAGTTGTTCCCTTCCTCTATAGCAAGTAATGTAAAAATGCACAAACCCTCGTGATTCTGACCATGGGCAACATCTGCAGGCAGAACTGCTCAGGAGTCTGCTCTGGACTCACCTGTCCCATCAGTGCAGGTTGGCAGGAACAGGCCCAACCCTCCCCTGTCCCGGGGTGACCTGGGGCACTGCAGGCTCACAGGGCTCTGTGTGGCTGCTCCCTTCTGGAGGAGACATGTAAATAGCACAAGGCAGGCTTTGCAGTGCAGTGTGCTTCCCTCCTGGCTCATCACACCCACCTTGCATTTCATTTCCTGAACTATCTGTATGGAGAGTTCTGTTTCTCTGAACTGTAGCATCAGCAAACTGCCTGGCAAAGGACGAAGCTGGAGACTTACCCATGGGGTTTTCAGAGAACTTTTTAACCTAAGAGGTAAAATGTCAAGTGACATTTGGATTTGAAGGTAACATGTTTATTTTTGTAATAATTTGAGTTCATCTGATTTTCTGATGTGCCTTGGATTTGTGCCAAATGATGGAAAGCAAAAACTAGTAAAATAACTCCTGAAAATGCTGTTTTCTCTGAGTGTTTCTGTCCAAGCATTGAGCCTTATTGCACAGATTGGGCATGAAACTCCTCCCACTGGTCAAGGGTCACTGGTCTGCAGAAATCTGCACACACCCAGGATATTCCTAAAGCTGAGACATCCTGGTTACAGACACAGACAAGCAAAACGCCCCAAAAAAAAGGTAACTGTTTAATACTTGCACATCACATCCACACGAGATGGAAACACCCACGAGTGCTCACTTGAAACCATTTTATTCTGTTCCCAAAACTGCAGCTGGAACTGCACATGGGCTGTTAGCTCATGTCAGGTAAGGGCTGTGGTGGCAGAGTCTTTGTCACACACTACAGTATTGTCCCACTCATTTCCATAACCAGATGTCTGAATGAATGGATAGCACAAGTTCAGTTGTACTTTATACATGCAGGAGTTGCAGAAAGTGTAGGAAAATGGTCTTTTTTTTTTTTCTCAGTTAAGAAACGCTCCAGGCATTTGATAAAAGTGGAGGTAGTTGTAATAACATGTGATACCAAGTGTCTGAACAGTGCTGTGCCACACAGTTAACTTGCCTGGTGAGATAGCTCAGACTGCAGAGGGAACAGGAGTGTCTGCTGTCACAGCTTCCTGACACGGAGTCACTTGAGCCAAACACCACTTTAGTATCTTCACTTTGTACGTTCCCAGTAAAGACTGGAGAGCCACTGCCCTGCTGGACAAGTGTCCTTCAGGGACTCTCCTGTCTAATACTTCTGTGATTTAGAGCTGGAGGCAAAGATTTTAAACGCCTCGAGTGGCTGTTCACAGCTTCTCCCTTGGCTCCTCCTGTGTTCTGCTATCTCCAGGAGCAGCAAGTTAAGTGTGTGCAGGGGCTGAGAGCAGTTACACACTGAGTAAGGGGCAACAAAACGTCCATGCTAACGAGGCCTGGGGAACCTCACACTGCTCAGGCCTCTCAGACTACAAAAATTAAGTTATAAAATCCCCCTTCTCACACCTATGTTACAAGTTCATTTGTTGGCCTTTTGTAAAAATAAAAAAAAAAAACAAATAAAGAAGCGTAAACAAACATCTGAGCTCTTGCACTCTGATGACACATGGGGCCCTGCCAGGCTGGGGCTGGCAGCCTTGCAGTAGTATTAGTCATCATCCTCTTCATCAGAATCCAGCACTTTTCTTCTGTTGAACTACATGGAACACACAAGGTGAAAATGGGGGTCACGGTCAATCCAGGCTGGCACAAGCTCTTCCCACTCCATGGACACCTGGGGCAGAACATGCACCCCCTGGCAGAGGGCAGGACAGACACTCTGCCACAGCTCCTGGGGACAGGGACTGCTGGGACTCAGCCCCAGCACCCACCAGGGCAGGGAGAGAGTGGGAAATGCAAAGGTCTACCCTGAACCAAACTGGGCCACTACGTGCACTTTTCCTGCTCTGTTTTAGAACATTACATTTGGGACAAAGTTTACCTTCACTGTTGTTTTCTTTTCTGTTTGTTGACTGACTTTTTCGAGTATTTCTATCAAACCTTGCTCGGATACCTAGAAAAGAGAAAAAAAAAGCCGTTCAGACATTCTGAGAGATGCTTAGTATCAAACAACTGAACCACCATCTCCTTTCTTAGAAGAGGTTTTTGATGGAATTACACAATAGGATCTAGACACTCTCAATGGCCTTTTAAGTCACTTAATTTACAGCTATAAAAACATCTCTTTTTTTTGAGTGAATTAGGTTTGAGAATTAATATATGTGAGAAAGAATGAGAAGCAGGTAACTCACCTTTCCAGCCAGCTGTCCAAATCTTGCCATCTGGATCAGGTAATTCTCTACTGCTTTTGCTTTGTCTGGTTTCACAAGTGCTAAATTGCTTACTGCAACAAAAACCATGTGAGCTCTGGTCATGTGGGTGTACAACATTTTCACACACCTTCAGCACTAACTACAGAGTGGCAAATGTCCCTATGGAACTCTGACAAAGGCATTTTCATCTATGCCACGTACAAGATAGTTGCATTTCTCACTCTGAAGTGTTTGTTCCTGATTAAAGCAACCAATTTTAACTTGCTGTAATTCCTATCATTAAACCATTCAGGTGTCAGGGAACCTCTCCCCTCCAATCATTGATACTGCCAACTGAAAAGCTGCAAGTTTTATCTTCACAACAAAAGCATTTTTCTAGCCTGGGCTCTCTAAGGGCACATGGAGCAGCTGTGGATGAGAATGTTTTAGGAGGAAGGTCCTCAGATACTCACATCTTGCACGAGCTGCTTGGTCAAGAACTTGAGCTAAAATAGTATTTCTTATCTCTGCTTCTCTGTAAGGAAAAGTGAAGACACATTAGAAGTGGCATTTCAAACACCTAACGCAACATGTACAAAACAACAAGCTACAGAAAACTTCTGATTCACCTCGGTGACTTCTTGAGGTCACTTCAAACCTTACATTTCTGTGATTTCTTTTACAGCACCTTCTGTCCTGAGCAGCTCTGTGTACATGGAGGGTACACAGGTGCCAACACCCTCCAAAATCAAAGTGGAGTTTAATGCCTCCACCTTCCAGACAGCAGCCAAGCTGCCACTGTGGATCCTGCACCCAGTTCCACGGGGGATTCACCCCAAGGCACAAGGACAGTCCATGCAACGGCAACACAAACCCAAATCTTGTTGTGTAGTTAGAATTTTGCACTAAGTCTCCACATATTTACAACGATTAAATATCTGCAAAACTGGAATTCTAGTTTATGCATTTCAGTCAGTACAAACTTTGCTGTGTGCAAGGTCAGCTCTTCAAACACTCCTCAATGTTCCCTCAGCACAAACACTGCTCACTGAGCACAAACATTGCTCCCACATTAAGCTCTGACACAAATCAATCTGGTTCATACTTTTAACTGCAATGGATGTCCCAGAAAATCAAACCAACTGGGAAAGGCTGTTCCCACTGCAACAACACAGCCAAACCCATCAGGCTCCAGCCTGGGAGGAGTTCTGCCACCCTTGAAGGTTTATATCACAAGCTCTGACCAACCCTGGAGGGCCAAGGTGTCTCACTTCCAGGAGCAGGTGACAGTGGCAGTGATGGTGCCTCCCCAGTCCATCCTGCAGTATCACTACAGGTCATGAAGTTATTACACTCAGCCAAGTCCCAGCATGAACTGGCAGCGCTCAGCCCAGAAACCAACCCGGGCCTGGGCTGCATCCACAGCAGA